GTGAGTTGAGTTTGTTTGATGTGTTCTTCTCTCCCTTGCCACGAGGGTTTTTCTCCAGGTTCTCTGGTTTTCCTCCCTCCATAAAAATCAACATGTGAGTTGAGTGTTGTATGTTGTAAATATAGAATGTAGTGGTACTACGTATATACATCACTCAACTCACATGCTGATTTTTACGGAGGGAGGAAACCAGAGAACTCATAGAAAACACTTGTGGCAAGGGAGAGAATAGCACATTAACTCAACTCACCTATGATCCAGTCTGAGCCGGAGCTCGAACCAAGACCATCCATACCACCGTTAGCAAGCACATAAAGGTTAAACCTTGCGAAATATAGATTTAGGAACTGGGGGATTTAGAAAACTTACGTATTTTGCAGACTTCGGTTGAATCTGGGAATTTGCAGGTGTAGCCATTGACCTGATCAAAGCAGATAGCTCCACGTTTGCACGGATTTCTAGCACATTCGTTGATATCTAAAACAAGAATGAAGTTGACAAGGAGTTACCTCTATACAGTTTAATGAGTGTTTTGGAAAAAAAAAATTCCAATGTTTAGGTGTTAAGAGAAATTTTTTTTTCAATGATGAGCAATAATGGCAAAAAGCGCCAAAAACTAGACTTTCGTAGAGTTTTGATCCCAATTTTCGCTTCGGGTTAACATTCAAAACCTTTTTTTAACAGTTAGAAAATGATGTACTATCATAAAATGCCTGTTTGAAGCGATATTTTCAATTGTACAAAGATGTTTTGTTGCATTTGTGTTAGAATGTTGCTTTGTCAGGCCTTTTTTAAAGAAAATATATGGGAAATAAGCAAATGAAGGCCCAAACCTCATTTTTGAATAATATCAAGGGTGCCTCTTGATATTACTGAAATTATTTGGCGTGCAAAGTTCCATACAAGTGTTCTGGGTAACCTCTGGGTCACTGGGAGTAACCAACTGAAGGTAACTGCCAAATTAAGTACACCTGCTCCTTAAGAAAATTATTTTTGGGAGTTTGAGTTGAATTTCTATGACTGATTACCTGTTTCGCAACGCTTTCCTTTGAAGCCAGCAGGACAGATGCATCTTTGATATGGGCCTCTACCACAGCAAACGCCTTCATTTAGACAAGGGTTTTTGATGCAGTTGAAACCTCCTATAAATCATATAGTTGTATGTATATAAATAATTAATCAAAAGAAAGAAATACTTACTAATAACGATAACCAAAAAGAAAATATAAATATAAATAAATAAATAAAAAACAAAAAAAGTTAAAAAAGTGAGAAAAACGTACTTGAAAATCCTCCCATTCCTTGGATTCTATGGCGGCCTTTACCATATTTACTTCCTTTGCCCTTGGAAGATTTGGAACCCTTACGTCCTCCATACTTGAATTTCCCTTTGCCCTTGGAAGATTTGGAACCCTTACGTCCTCCATACTTGAGTTTCCATTTGCCCTTTGACGATTTGGACCCCTTACGTCCTCCATACTTGAATTTCCCTTTGCCCTTGGAAGATTTGGATCCTTTACGTCCTCCGTACTTGAGTCTCCATTTGCCCTTAGAAGATTTGGATCCTTTACGTCCTCCGTACTTGAGTCTCCATTTGCCCTTGGAAGATTTGGATCCTTTACGTCCTCCATACTTGAGTTTCCCTTTGCCCTTGGAAGATTTGGATCCTTTACGTCCGTACACTTTAGAAAAAATTAAAATAGCAATATTATTGTTCCAGAAAATATTAGATTGCTCACAAAGGACTCATTAATTGAAGTCAGTTAAATCTCCATACCTCGTTTTTCTTCGTTTACACTCTCATCTTTAAAATGCAAAAGATAAAAATTAAAAAAAATTTAAATGGAAAAATGGAAAAAGGAAAAAACAAAAGAAAAAATGGATAAAAAGACAGATAGACAACTGAGCCAACCGCTTGACGAATAAATTGATAATATTTGAAAAAAAAAAAAATAATTTGAATAGATATTTTCTCTCACCAAATGGTACTAACACTTGATCTTCCTCCGCTGCATCTGTCAGAAGGAAATAAATATTGATTATTTCCCGTACATATGCTACACAGGTTTCGMATTGAAGACCACAGACACATTTGCAAACATATTTGAAAAAAAWWTTTTTTGAAAAGATATTTTCTCTCACCAAATGGTACTAACACTTGATCTTCCTCCGCTGCATCTGTCAGAAGGAAATAAATATTGATTATTTCCCGTACATATGCTACACAGGTTTCGCATTGAAGACCACAGACACATTTGCAAACATATTTGAAAAAAAAATTTTTTGAAAAGATATTTTCTCTCACCAAATGGTACTACCACTTGATCGTCCTTCACTGCATCAGTCAGAAGGGAATAAATATTGATTATTTCCCGTATATGCTACACAGGTTTCGCATTGAAGACCACAGACTCACTTGCACACATTTAGCCTCCCTCGTTCATACAATCAAATGTAAGTCCATGGGATTTTAAAACATTATATATTGTTATAAAATAACTGTTATGAATGTCGCGTTCTGATTGGCTTGGAGCGCATGCTTTATGAGAGCACACAGCATGTGTGCGCACTTTCAGTTGCGTCATTCCTATCTAAAATAACGGTTATTGTAATTTGTATTTCATAAAATAAATAAAAAACTTGCTTGCTGTGCTGCGTGCCGTTATAAAGCACTTGGGGATTGGCAGAACACTCGAGAAGTGTCGAGAAGCACTCCGCTACGCGTCGTGCTTCTCCTAACACTTCTCTCGTGTTCTGCCAACTCCCGCGTGCTTTATGACTGCACACAGCACGCGCGCGCGTTTTCTATTTCTTCAAAAAAAAAAAAAAAAAAAAAAAAATACTGAAAGGCACGCATGCGCAAACGTTTTTCTCTCATCACTTCATTATCCCTAACTAGCATGAAGTCTAAACGCTTTATGAATATTTATGACAACGAAAACTAACCTGCAATATCGTTGACATCATCAGCATAGGCTGAAAATAGAGAAATTAAAGAAAAATAATTTTAACATAAATTTGATTTTCAAATAATTTAGTTTGTTTGTTTTGGGTTGTTTTGATGTTCCTGATATTTGTTGTTGTTGTTATTTTTCATCTTTTCAGCTGCTTTTGTTTTGCGGTTTGCTTTTTGTTTGTTTAATTTTTCAGTTTAAAAATTTATTATTTCGTGTTATTTTTGAGAGCATTCATAACCACCTCTCCTTTAGGCGCTTTACCTTGATCATGAATGTTTTAGGATTTAGAATGATCAATCTGCCAATTTTTTCAACGCAAAAGACCTTTCTAGTTATTCGTATGAGTTACCACAAGTCCAGATTGGACATGATGTGTTCATACATTTACTCTAAGTTATCGCGTCCAACATCGACTAGGAACGTACGTACCACTGTTTTATGCTCAATCATTGAGACAAATTTGGGAATGGTCTTCTACAGTTTAAGACCAAAAATGTTGGCCAAAACATTTTACTTTTTTTTAGCGTAACGATGAAAAAACGACGATACACTATATAAAAATTCTCGACATTGTTTTTGCCAGTTTAGAAGCACAGAAGTGAACCAAAAAGCAACTCTGATGTACGAAACCGAGTCCGGGAATCGAGATAGGGTTGCATTGATGAGAGGCGAATGCTCTCGCTTCACGTCACTCCTCACGTATTAAAATATAGGTCTAATCTAAACTGTTTTCGAAGGGAAAAAACGAAGAGTTGCAATTGGCCAATATCATTCTATCATTTCTCACGAACTAACAGATAGATCTAATCCACTTACCTGTAAATGCCAATAAGGCAAATATCATGAGAGATAGTTTCCACATCTTTATTCTGTGAAAAAAAAAACACGACTACCTTTATGAACTTTCTTAAAGTTATTTTCTTCATAAAGTTTTTTTTTAAAACAAGATACATCTATTCAACAGAAATGGTATTTTTCCCCTGTGTCTTGATATTTTTTACTACGTTTGCAAAAATTAATTATATTAAGTTCAGAAATTAATTTAGTATATTTTCAATGGTTAGTGATTCTATCAAAGAGTAGAAACAACTTTGACTTTTTTAAATATTTCAAGCGTACTAAGTTACTTTAAAGTTTTGGATTTTTATTTCAAAATTATATTTTTTAATGATAAATGTTGTTAAAAAGGTAAAAAAAAAACAAAAACAAAACAAAACAAAACGTTGAATGGTTCCGAAATTTCTCTTATCTCAAACTCTCGCCCTAAAGTGAAGCATTGAGTTCAATATACCGAATGATCAAAATAAATGTTTTCCAAACCATAGATGATTCAAAGTAAGCACTTTTAGAAAAGGGACGAAGAGCTGAAAGTGTTAACGGTTGGAATGTCCTAGCTGTAAAATCTTTTAAATATATATAACAATGTTATTCAACTACAATGAAAACGTGAGCGCATCCCTTATAATTTATACAAATATTTTTGTCACTTTTTTTAAAATTAAAGAAGTTTTAGTTCTAACTAGTTCCACTACACTTACCTTTATTAACCTCGACTTCTCAGCAGAAGTCGTTCCTAGAAAACTTTGTTCAAGTGAACAAGCCTCCTAACTTAATGGCTATTGACATGACATAGAAAGCCCTCGTTACCAAGGGGATAATAAACTATATCGTTACCATAGTGATATATTCACCTCAGCAATAGATATTAAAGAGGCTAATGGCAAAAAGAGGCAATCAGATAATGAGTTGTCACCATGACAACATTAATTTCATCACAACGCTAACTTTTGCACTGAAGTGATTGCCTAATCTTGAAAAATCCGTGAAAATGTTTTTGAATCACGAGTTTTTTCAGTGCAACAGCATTAACCAAAGCCACCAAAAGAATTATAACAAAATAACAAAATGGTGACAAATTCTGGAGTTTAAAGCTGTTTCTTGTTCCACTCCTGTTCAAACACACACACACACATACGTATAAAGCAAAATATATATTAATTAAGGGGAAATGTGAAAAGAATTTGTACAGAATCAATCGTGATTGGCAAATTTTTCTGGGTGGCGCTAAAGCCAATTCAATGCTGATTTCAAATTTAAGAGGAAGAAAAAGATATCCCCCAAAAATATTACGTCCAAATGTTTTGACATTTTTCAAGGAAGCCAGGATAAATTCAACAAATTAAATGTAATTCTCACTTCTTCACTATTATTTTTCTCTAAATTCCTTGTTGTTAAATTACAGGATGTCAGGCCATGTTATAATTTAATTTTTATTTAAAGAAAAATTAAACTAAAAATATTGAAATTTTGAAAGTTATGAAACTCAAATGTTACAATATTAACAAAATCTACGCGTTATGAAACTCAAATTGACTCATCAACCTTTGAAATAATTTTATATTTTCCTTAGCTTTCGACCGACACGGTCATCCTCAGAGGAACTAAAATACGTTACAATATTAACAAAACCTACGCGATCAAACGTTGTACATATGCGCGAGCAAAAGAATCGCTCGCACAAACCTGAAAGCACGAGCATTGAACACAAAAGATTTATGTAATTTGCTGGCAGAATTCTGCCACTGTCTCTATTAGTTGAAAGTTGTTTTTTAAGATAAAAAATAGTTTATCAGCAAAGTTGGAACCATGACTCGTTTATTTTTAAACATAATTTTAGTCGAAATCAATTACTAAAAATATTCCAAAAGACATATTAAAAAGAAATTTTCTAGTGTTTATCTCATCGCTTGACGACAAATTCCTAGATTTCACTTTTTGAAACAGCAGCAAATCTTTTAAATTAGTTATGATGACTTTTATTGTCTATTAAATCTTAACGAGCAGCTAACAGAGAATTTTCTGGTCTATAAATCATCACACGCATGAGTTACGTAATGTTTCTAGTATATTAGAATGGTGTTCATTAATGAGCAATGAAGCGCAACTGGTTGCTTAGTGAGATGAAGTCAGGTTTATGATTATTGTGGAAAATGACAGTTTGTCATCACGATTTTGCTTTCTTTTTAAAAAATCATGAACTCACACACACAAAAAAAGACAAACAAACAAACAAC